ACGTCTTGTATGCAGTTTCTGCTTCTTGAAAGTGCTTCTTTTTCAGGTGCCCTGTTAGCAATATAAGGCAAACGCTGTATTAATGTTGATTAAAGTTACTTTATTAGTAAAATGCATAAAAAAAAAATGAATGCAACGTCATACTGCAGCATAATGGTAAAGAGTTTGCCAGAAAGCTCAGAGTAAGCCTTAAAGCTTAACTGTGGTCAGGCTATTCACAAATATTTCCTCATCTGTAGTCACAATATACACTTTCGCATTTTAACATCAGCATTGTAATAGCAATATAAGCAATAGTTGTTTTTGGCAATCAATTATAAGTGGACATGAAAAATCTCCTTTCATGTGAATGCTGCCTGTTCGCTGGCCATTTCTTTCCATGACTATGACTGCGGTAACCCTCCAGCATTGTCAGTTGAATCTTTGCTTGTTTTACAGCTTCTTCACTAACTACTTTTAATTTCTATGGACTACATATCCAATGGTATCCTGCTCGCATGCACAGATTCCTGTGGTGATTCCAGTAAAACCAGTATGGATCAAGATGGACCAATGTAACTATACCAAAAAAAAAGGAGAAGCTATACCTAAAACTTGTGCTTTAACCCCTTTTATAACTGCCCGACATGTGGTGGCAAAAGGGTGGGCTTTAATGTCCACATGAGCTGCTGGGCGGTCAACTGTTTATGTGTTCAGGGTGTACTTGCAGCACAAAGTCTGAGTTGTCGCTGACAGATCTTGGTCTGGGATACAGATTGGTAGCCAGCAGGACAGGCTTAACCTTCCAACCCCCAGGGCGTTCTGAATTACTAAGGTACGTGGAGCAGGTGGGAACCGGTTAAATCTCATCCTGGTTGTTTTTCCAGCACATGTAAACACTTACATTTCTATAGCCTGGCTGCAAGTACAGTTTAAAGGATAAATTCACCTTTTCACAAAAAAAATAATAAATGCAAATTTTTTTGCAGTTAAAAAAAAAGGGCATTTATTATTTTTTCTGTTATGAGCCTGTAAAGCATTGCATCAGTGATCAGAGATCGCTGGTGCCATGCAGGTCTCCTGCACACTGTCGGGATATCTTGTACGGGCAAGCCGATACTTACTGATAGGAAGACTCAGTGAACTACCACAGCACTGTGGTAGCTCATTGAGAACTACAAGCTGACAGCCACTAAGGCTGTCGGGACTTGTAGTCCATTCATTCACAGAAGACTGAATGAATGAAAAAATGTCGTGGCTGTGTGGGTGGAGCCCTGCAAGGCCACGCTGCTTTTGAAAACTGACAGCTAATGCGGGGAACTTCTCACCATACTTGTCACAGGGAAGGGGGTTTGAAGGTGTCGGCTGCAGGTGGAAAACATGTTGCGTTACATGTTCCACCCTAAAACGGGTAGAACATGTAACATGTTCCCAAAGGTGAACTTATCCTTTAAGGAAAACATATCTATACTAAGTTTCAACATCAGCATATATTTGCACCAAGGCCTAATTTAGATAGCCAGTTAGATATCCATTTGTTGTAAATTAGGTGCCAAAAAGCTATTACATTGATGGGCAATTTGAAACGGAATTGTCTGTTTAACATAACAATGCATTTAAAAATAGTTGCACTGGTTTTTATTTTAAATAAATAGAAAAAAAAGTAAACGCATGCGAATATGGCAGTAACTTCTTTATGAATATACACCACTGGGCCCATGCCATGTTGCCAAGACTGCTCTTGTGGCCCAAACCAGTGTGGTGTTGCTCCACCGTGGCTCGTCCCCTCTCTGGTTATTTATCAACTGCAGAAATTCAGACAGAATGAGAGCACATCCATTAGAAGGAAGGAGCAAAATCTTTTTTGGCAATTCTACTCTTAGTGAGATGTTGCCATGGGGGAGATTCACCATTGCGACATGGTCCTTATGCTGGCCAAAAACAGATATTTTATAGAGGTTTTGTAAGCTTTCCACAAAGTTTTGTTTGAAAGCATGTTTGCATGAATCAAGTGATCCTTCGCAATTCACCACTCGCCATTTAATTAATTCTCCTGCAACTTATTGATTGAAACTGGGCTAGAAATGAATCACAAATGTTCCCTGGAATTAAGGAGGATGTGATGGATCCACAACAATTTTTGATTACGGGATACCGAAGTGTAGAAAAAAAATATGTGGGTGGAAGATTGCTACGAACCATTCTATTGCAAGTGGTTTTTTTGTTTTTTTTTTTAGTTGAAAGCTGACATAAAGCTTACAAAATTCCTTGCAAGGTCATCTTTATAAGCAACTAAAGTCTTCAGCTGGCCACTTAGATTCAGAGTCAGCATATGGGCCTATGAAAATAATCTAAATCAGGCAAAACCTCAAACTACACCAGCTGCCGGTATATTTGGATCATTTGACAAATGATATCTTAAAACAGTCTGCATGGTAACCATTACTTTGAAAACACTCCATTCATAAATTTAAAAAAAAATAAAAATTCTACGCAATGTTTTACTAGAAGCATGGGAAGAAAAGACCAACTGTACACAATATTGTAAATGACTCAAGCAAGTGCACTAGGAGAAGATTAGTACTCAAGCACGTGCACTGGGAGAAGATACGTACACATTATCAAAAGAGGTGTTTCCTTACAAGGAAGAGTAGAACGATAGTTGCACTAGATACCTATAACATCTGATTAATCAGATTTGTAAAAAGCAAAAAAGTAATCTACCAGGTTAACCAGCAAGAAGTACAGGTAAAGAGAAGGCAAATATACCAAAGTGATAATTTTTAATGCTTAACTTAAAAAAAAAAAAAAAAAAAATACAAGCTTTCAGAACACAAAGTTCTTCCAGGTATATTGACAAGTGTTGTAGAAATGCTACTGTCCATAGCAGCAAGATTTTGTACTGCCCTGTAATCATTTACAGTTAAGCACAATTAATTTCCCCAATCTATAGAGTGCCTACACACTATATACTGTAGCTCATGCAAGTATATTCAAAGCTCTTATCACATGACAAAAGCATTGTCTTCATGACTAACTGTAAGTCAATGTACTGAAACTTAGCTAATATAAGCATTTTCATCTGTTATCTAAATAATGGACTATGGTGTATACAGTGGGGCAAAAAAGTATTTAGTCAGCCACCAATTGTGCACGTTCTCCCACTTAAAAAGATGAGAGAGGCCTGTAATTGGCATCATAGGTAAACCTCAACTATGAGAGACAAAATGAGAAAAAAAATCCAGACAATCACATTGGCTGATTTGGAAAGAATTTATTTGCAAAATATGGTGGAAAATAAGTATTTGGTCACCTACAAACAAGCAAGATTTCTGGCTCTCACAGACCTGTACCTTCTTCTTTAAGAGGCTCCTCTGTCCTGCACTCACTACCTGTATCAATGGCACCTGTTTGAGGTTGTGGACAGGTGTCTTTTATACTGATAACAAGTTCAAACAGTCACACTCCAAACTCCACTATGGTGAAGACCAAAGAGCTGTCGAAGGACACCAGAAACAAAATTGTAGACCTGCACCAGGCTGGGAAGACTGACTCTGCAATAGGCAAGCAGCTTGGTGTGAACAAATCAACTGTGGGAGCAATAATTAGAAAATGGAAGACATACAAGACCACTGATAATTTCCCTCAATCTGGGGATCCACGCAAGAGCTCACCCAGTGGGGTCAAAATGATCACAAGATCGGTGAGCAAAAATCCCAGAACCACACGGGGGGGGGGGGGACCTAGTGAATGACCTGTAGAGAGATGGGACCACCGTAACAAAGGCTACCATCAGTAACACACTACACTGCCAGGGACTCAGATCCTGCAGTGCCAGACGTGTCCCCCTGCTTAAGCAAGTACATGTCTGGGCCCGTCTGAAGTTTGCTAGAGAACATTTGGATGATCCAGAAGAGGATTGGGAGAATGTCATATGGTCAGATGAAACCAAAATAGAACTGTTTGGCAGAAACACAACTCGTCGTGTTTGGAGGAGAGAGAGAGAATGCTGAGTTGCATCCAAAGAACACCATACACCATACCTACTGTGAAGCATGGGGGTGGCAACATCATGCTTTGGGGCTGTTTTTCTCCGCAAAGGGACTAGGACGACTGATCCATGTACAGGACAGAATGAATGGGGCCATGTATCGTGAGATTGTGAGTGCAAACCTCCTTCCATCAGCAAGGGCATTGGAGATGAAACGTGGCTGGGTCTTCCAACATGACAATGATCCCAAACATACCGCCCCGTGCAACATAGCGTGGCTTCGTAAGAAGCATTTCAAGGTCCTGGAGTGGCCTAGCCAGTCTCCAGATCTCAACCCCATAGAAAACCTTTGGAGGGAGTTGAAAGTGTGTTGCCCAGCGACAGCCCCAAAACATCACTGCTCTAGAGATCTGCATGGAGGAATGGGCCAACATACCAGCAACAGTGTGTGCCAACCTTGTGAAGACTTACAGGAAACGTTTGACCTCTGTCATTGCCAACAAAGGATATATAACAAAGTATTGAGATGAACTTTTGATATTGACCAAATACTTATTTTCCACCATAATTTGCAAATAAATTCTTTCCAAATCAGCCAATGTGATTGTCTGGATTTTTTTTCTCATTTTGTCTCTCATAGTTGAGGTCTACCTATGATGCCAATTACAGGCCTCTCTCATCTTTTTAAGTGGGAGAACTTGCACAATTGGTGGCTGACTAAATACTTTTTTGCCCCACTGTACCAGTCGAATTCTACTTGAAATGTATAGAGAATCTCAAGTGTGTCCTTCAACATTCCCAGAGTTGAAGGCAACACAATGGCAGCCCCTTTACAAGTGCTAAGGTAGTTAATCAAGTTAATTTAACTCCCGCCCACCATATAAGGTAATGACCGGCGCAAGGCGGTTCTCTCATTCTGGGAGGACGTCATATGACGGCCTCGCACTCTAACCACGCGTGTCTGGCTACGGGAGCGCGCAGTGCGCCAATCGGTGGTGTGTTGTGTCCCTTGGACACAGCGGATCACTGATCAACGGAAAGAGCAGAAGATGTCGGCTCGGTCATGTGATCAGCTATGTCCAATCACAGCTGATCGCATGTAAGTAGGGAAATGCCAGTTATTGGTATTTCTCTCCTCACGAGCTGTCACACTGACAGCTCGAGAGGAGAGCCGGTAATCGGCATTCCTCAGAGGGGACATGTGCACTGATGATCAGTATGCCCTGATGATCAGTGTAGCCCCAGTAGTGCCACCTGTCAGTGCCCATCAATGCCAGCTGTCAGTGCTCATCAATGCCACCTGCCAGTGCCCATCAATGCCACATATCAGTGCCTACCAGTGCCCATCAATGCCACATATCAGTGCCCATCTAAGCTGCCTTTCAGTGTCACCTATCAGTGCCACCCATAAATGCTAGTCAGTGCCACCTATCAGTGCCGCCTAACAGTGCGCATCAGTGCCGCCTAACAGTGCGCATCAGTGCCGCCTAACAGTGCGCATCAGTGCAGCCTAACAGTGCCACCTGTCGGTGCCATATATGAGTGCTGCCTTTCAGTGCCCATCAGTGATGCCTGTCAATACCCATCAATGCCACCTACTAGTGCCTATCAGTGCAGCCTATCAGTGCCCATCACTGCAGCCTCATTAGCACACATCAGTGAAGGAGAAAAAATCACTTATTTACATAATTTTATAACAAAAACTAAGAAAAAACATTTTTTAAAAAAAAAATTTCAGTTGTTTTTGGTTTGTTTAGTAAAAAATAAAAACCCAGAGGTGATTAAATACCACCAAAAGAAAGCTCTGTCTAAAAATAAAATGATAAAAATTTCATATGGGCACAGTGTTGTATGACCACGCAATTGTCAAAGTGCGACAACACTGAAAGCTGAAAACTGGCCTGGGCAGGAAGGGGGGTATAAGTGCCCTGTAGGCAAGTGGTTAAAAATTGATGAGCTGCAACCCCAAAAATGCTGGTTCTGTTGCATTTTTTAAGCACTGCAGCACACATCAAAGAGAAAGTGAGAATAAAATAAGCCCTATTGTTGGTGACAATAGCCACAATAATAACCCCCAGTATCAGTGCCTTAGACTGCAATAATAACCCTCAAACACAAGTGTCAAAAGCAGCAAGTACCCCTACCCCCCCACTGGTGTTTGTGGACACATTAATAGCCCTTAGCATTGATGTTAGTGGCTGCAATAATAACCCTACAGCACTGGTAGCAGTGCAAGTAACCTTTCCCTTCACTGGTGGTCAGTGGAGGTCTTGTTACAACACCCCACCGCTACTTGGTAGTTGGTACTTGCCTGATCACGTACTTAAGCACTCTTTCTCCTTTCATCCGGCCAGTACTTTAGGACAGAGTGGGGTTTATTTACTAAAGCTGGAGAGTCCAAAATCAGACTCCCTTCTGCCTAGAAACCAATCAGCTTCTAACCTCAGCTTGTTCAATGAAGCTTTGGCAATGAAACCTGGAAGCTGATTGGTTTCTATGCAGAAGTGAGTCTGATTTTGGACTCTCCAGCTTTAGTAAATAAACCCCAGTATGTCACTTGACAATACTACAGGTGTCAGTGCTGAAACACTGAGAGCCGTGAGACCAGTCTAGGACACTGGAACCTAGGGGCTGCACACACAGTGTGGATGGACATGTATTGGGCACCAGGGGTGTATAAGGTACAGAGCTGGTAGGGTTGAATAAAGACACCAGTCCATCCAGTTCACCCGTGTGGGTGTGTATTCATGTTAAAACTCATATCATTGTATACTGTGTTCTCTAAGAAGCCCATCCAAGAGTTTTTTATTTAATTATCAATACTTCCCGCTGACACCACCGGTTGTGGAAGTACAGTAAGTTCCATTTCCTTACCGATCTGACAGTGAAAACCCCCCTACACAGTTTAAGGTTAAACCGCTTCTCCTCCAGTTTCAATGAGTGGCTTCATACACTACCTGAGACTGAATAGTTTATTCTTTATCCTAGAATCACCACTGAGATATCTGTATATTGCTATCATATCTCCTCTCTCTTCTCCTGGTAGAATAGGTTTAATGTTTGTAGTTGTTCCTCATAACTGAGGTCCTCCAGTCAACTTTGTTGCCCTTCTCTGGACTCTCTCTAGTTCCAGCACATCCTTCCTGAGATCAGGTGATCAGAAATGGATGGCCTATTCCAGATGTGGCCGAACCAGTGTTTTATAAAGTGGCTTCATTAAAGTTTTTATCACTTGAGTAAATTCCCTTTTTAATACATGCTAATATTAAGCTAGCTCTGCTTGCTGCAGCTTGGCATTGCATGCCATTTCTGAGTGTCATCTACTAGGATCTCCAGATTTGTTTCTGCCCTGGACTCCCCCAGAGGTTTGTCTCCTAGCGAGTAACTTGCATTCATATATTTATCCCCCAAGTGCAATACTTTACATTTTTCAACATTAAATTTAATTTGTCATGTATCTGCCCACCTAATTTTATTGAGGTCTACTTGCAGAGCCTCTGTATATCCTGTTGTGACATTATTACTACTTAGTTCCACATCATCTGCAAACACTGAGATTGAGCTAGCAATGCCAGTCTCTATATCATTTATGACTAAATTAAACAGAATTGGTCCCAGTACAGAGCATTAGGGTACCCCACTTACTACTCCAGTCCAGTCTGAGTATATGCTATTTATTTCTACCCTTTGGATGTGCCCCTGTAACCAGTTTTCTATCCATGTACAAACCTATGGTCCATGCCTACAGACCTCAGTTTGTAAATTAACCACTTCCTGTCCGGCCCATGTATATAAACGGCCGGACGGTGGCAGTGCAGGGTCGGGTGGCCATTTATAAACGGCCTCCCCGCACGCTGCTTGTGCGCGCAGAACCGCGATCTGGTGTACGCTGTGTCCTCCGAACACAGTGGAACACCAATCGTTGGACGGGACCTCTGTGCGAGGTCCCAATCATGTGATTACTGATTGACCAATCAGTGATCACATGCAGAATAGTAAGCAAGATGTCACTTCTTACATCATTGCTTACTACGTGTGAAATCTGTGAATGATCACAGAGGTCTCATGGTACAAGGCTATTCACAACAGCTTTGTACCATGTGACAAACTGTGACCAATCACAGCTCACACAGTAGTTCTCAATGGCTGCAAGAAGGAGAAATTACTGTTTTTACAGCCTTTATGGGTGTAAAAGCAATCAGTGTAAAAAAAAAAAAAAATCTTCATCACCCCCCACAAGTAGTAGTGTCACCATGGTGACACTGTACTGCTAGGGAGACCGTATGTAAAAAAAACAAAACAAACAAAAATAAATAATATAAAAAAAAAAGTGAAAAAAAATGTTTAAAAATTATAATTTTTGGTTATAAACTAATTTGGGTTTTTTTTACTAAAGATAACGGAATACATTTTGGCCAAGATTTATGATGAAATACTATTTATTTGCAAAATGTTATAAGAAAAACACTTTTTTTTCATTTACATAGCAAAAAAAAAAAAAATCCCAGTGGTGAATAAATACCACCAAAATAAAGCTTTATCTGTCTAAAAAAAAATGCATATGGGTACAGTGTTGCATGACCGTGCAATTGTCATTCAAAGTGTGATAGCACTGAAAGTTGAAAATTGGTCTGGACAGGAAGGGGGTAAAAGTGTTCGGACTGGCAGTGGTTAAGAGTCTATAGGGAACTGTATTGAATGCTTTTGCAAAATCCAGATATACCTTATCCACCGGTCTTCATTTATCTAGATTGAAACCCACTTCCTTGTTGAACGCCAACAAATTGGTTTGGTAAGAATGACCCTTCGTGAAGCCATGCTGACTACTAATAATTATATTGTTTTGCTCAGAAAATTTTTGCATATGGTCCCTCATCATCTCCTCCAAAAGTTTACATACTATCGATGTTAGACTGATTAGCTTGAAGTTTACAGGAATAAATCTCTTCCCTTTTTTAAATACGGGAACCACACTGGCCCTTCACCAATCAACTGGGAGAAAGCCCAACTCCAGATATTTGTGTGTGTGTATACATGGATCAGCCATAACATAATCACCCACCAAAACCTGTTGAGGTATAGAGTCCACTAAACCTCTGAAGGTATTGCTGTGATATCTGGCACCAAGCCCTCAGTAGCAGGTTTTTTAAGTCCTATAGGTTCTGAGGTTGAGACTCCATGGATCGGACCTGTTTTTGCCAGCACATCCCACTCTGTTCATCACTAATGGTTGATGTAAAAAAAATGGCAATACTGCGTGTCCATTGCAAAATGCAGGTAACGTTGATGTGCCAGGAAGATAGGCGAATGATGCAAGAAGGCAAGGTGGTCTTCCAGATGGAGGAAAGACAGATTTTTTTTTGTATACAGTGAAAGCTGTTGGACACACTGAAACCCAGTATGCCCTCTTTGACTTTAGGAAAGGTGAACAGGTTTGAATAAATCCCCTGAAACCTTTCCCTTCCTGGGCGTGGCTATGACCCTTTGAGAGGCCCCGTGCCAAAGCAATGTGGAGGTCCATCAATCTCTATGGGGATGTCAGCAAGTTGGACAACATGAAGCAGGGTGTAGCCTCAGGATACAACCTTCTGACCCCTGATTTTTAGAGCTGGATGCCCCAAGACCAAAGGGCCAAAAAATATCAACAGAAATCCCCCTCACTTTGACAAGTTGGGGCACCCAAAAATGCAAGAAGGGTTTGCAGATTTTCTAAACTTGATGGTCTCTCACTCCCTCATTTGGCTGTGGGATAGGGGAAATCTCCCCAAGGCGACACAAATACCGACAGGCGATTAAAAAAAATATATATATATATTACATCTCCCTTAGCACAGCCTGCTTTGTTAAATACTTATCTTGCTCCCCATTACAGCAATCTTCACCATGTGCCCCTGCAAGATGTGTTTCTTCACTGTATGCCATTGCAAGATGTTCTACCAAAAGTGTTCCTGCTGGCATGTCTTCAAAGTGCCACTCCATTCATTCCTAGCATAGCAGGTTGTGCTTAGTAAGAACGGGCAATTGTGTACAGTGCAAATTCACTAAAAGTGAACTCGGACTTTAACATTACACACAGTCGGTAAATATTGGCTGTTAAAAGGAGCTCCACTTTCACTTTATTTCATCCAATTTTAATAGATCAGGACAAATGTCTAACGCCTAGTACACACAATCCAGCAGGCTAACCCCCCCCCCCCAAAAAAAAAACAGATCACTGTACTAAGCGATGTTAGTACAGCGATCTCTCCCGCTGTGCCTTTGTGTTCTGACAGGGACTGCCCCCTGCCAAAACACACTAATGCTGGTTTTCCAGCAAGTTCCTTCGACAAAAACCAGTCCTTAGACCGGGTTTTGTTGCAAGGACAGCTATACACATGGTCTGAATTTTCGGCTGATTCCTGCTATACCAATAGTCGGACCTCGTGTATCCAGTTTTAAACTAGCTTATACTATACCTGTG